CAGAGAGTGTGATCCCCCCTCCCCCCCCCCCCCCCCCTTGCCTTGCGCCGGTGCGCGGTGCCGCCGAGCTTAGCATGAATCCTCCTCTCGCTATGGCATCGTCCCCGCGATTATGGCATCCTCCTGCTCAGCATCCCTGAATCCCAAACGGAGACTGAAACGTGAAGCCCGCAGAGCTAAGAAACTAGGGGGCCTGTGCGTGGGGCGCCCGGTTACGCACACCATCTGTAAGTTGAGGGTACCAACAAAATCGTCGAGAGGACCATACGCCTCTGTGTTGTGATGCATTCGCATGCTTTATCCAGAGATAGCTGAATACTAAATGACCCTAAACCCTACCCTAAACCCTAAACCCTAAACCCTAAACCCCAAACCCTAAACCCTAAACCCTAAACCCCAACAGCTCCACAGCTCAGGGCCACCTGCAAGGCCGCACTGCAGAAGGCCCTGCTGACCGGCACCCTGGACCAGGTTGGCCCACTCGGATGTTTAGGGTTTAGGGTTTAGGGTTTAGGGTTTAGGGTTGGGGCTGTTGAAGTGTCGGAAAGAGACCCACCCATGCACTCAGTGGTCTCTGCAGAAGCCCAGAGCAACGTCCCAGAAGGGGATTCGCAGAAAATCCCAAACCTACAAAGCAAGTCTCAACATGGCAACACAACAATCCAAGCTGCTTTGCTCGAGGGACTCCTTCGAGCCCAGGATGGTTTCTCTTGGGTTTCCACTCTACCTCTCCTCCCCATGCTGATCGACCTCCGGGGTTTAGGGTTTAGGGTTTAGGGTTTAGGGTTTAGGGGGTCTCCTGAGAAAGCAAACTTCTTGGCAAATCACGCACGAGCCATCTGTGCTTCTAGTCTGTGATGCAGCCTTAAGTCAGCTTTTGCCCTGCCTGCATATCAGCGGTACTCATAGCTCTTGTTGCTCTTGGGGCGCACCTCGTTGGGAGTAGCCTACAGCCTGCAGTTGTGCAAGAGGATGTCAACCACCATCGTATCTTGGCTTCGGTAACTTATGGATGAGGTCCCTGATGATAAGGGGAACCTACTGTTTGGGGTTTATATTGGGGGTCCCTTACGATCGTAAACTCCCAGAAAGACACTCAGCACGCAGATACCCTGGGAGCAGACACTGTCTCTACAAATCTTCTGCGCGCAGTTTGCTGCTGCTTGACCAGGTAAAGGTTTAGGGTTTTGGGTTCATTTAGGGCTTAGTGATGGTTGCTGCGGCTTTGCACCAATCGCATGAAGCACTGCGCATTGTGGTGAGCATCATCCTCTCGGCAGTGCCGCTATGAGATTTAGGAGGAAGTGAAGCCCCAAGTAGGTTCTTGCCAGGTGCTGGCTACACTGCTGCCAGCCAGGCTCCACACCTTGAGACTTGGGCAGGGTTGACCACCATGGTCACATGCTTTCGTGTTCAACAAGAACCTCTGTGAGCCCGAAACCCATGCTGTATCATACATAGGGCATCTGCAAGCATTGGCGCCGGCCTCTTCACTCAGAGTGGAGTTCTTCGAGCATAGGGCCCCTTTCTTGGATATCTCTACTCGAGCACGGAGCCTTTTCTGTACGGGTACTTCCCCCCAAAGGCGACAGTCATGTAGAGAACTGCCCATTTGGCTCCCGCTTTGTGTTAGGTCGTAGTCGACATAGGTTCGGCCCAGGGGGGCGATTCATTTTGGGGCTCTCCTTCTGCTTTTCTGTGAGGCTTCCGAATGTGACTTCACATGCGGCCAAGGGTGCGGACGGAGCGGCGGGAGGTGGGGCCAGCCGAAAGTAGGCGCCTCATGCTTAACGATTCAGGTTTTGAGCCTTCAACAACCTCGATCCCGTCCTTGATGCCTCAGCTCTGAGTTTGGGAACTTGGCTCTGGCCTGAGGCATAAGGTCGTAAGCAGCTATGTACTCTGCTTTAGAAAAAGATGTTCATCTTTCTCTCCTGACTCGAATTCGTTGGTTTGCGGTTCGCCTTTGGAAGTTACTGAAGCCCTCTCGGTCCCAGACCTCGTGATCTGGAAGGCGCGCTCGACACGGCCTCTTTGATGAATAGCCTCGGCAAGATGCTCGAGGTTGGGCTTAGGGTTTTTGGGTTAGGGCCTAGGGCTTAGGGTTTAGGGCTTAGGGCTTGGGGTTTGGGGTTTAGGGTTTGTGGTCCCAGTCTGCGACGCTATGTCTCAGTCGCTATTCTGCTCGGTTATGTCATGGAATTTCATTATCATGGCGTTTTGTCACCAGGCGGTGCGGAGCAGCATCTTGGGGTAGAGCTGAGATTGTACAGACCCCCCCCCCCCCCAAAAAAAAAAAGAAAAGAAAAGAGAAGCGCAAGAACCTAAACCCTGAACCCTAAACCCTAAACCCTCAACCCTCAACCCTCAACCCTCAACCCTCAACCCTCAAGCCTCAAGCCTCAACCCTCAACCCTCAACCCTCAACCCTCAACCCTCAATCCTCAACCCTCAACCCTCAACCCTCAACCCTCAACCCTCAATCCTCAACCCTCAACCCTCAACCCTCAACCCTCAACCCTCAACCCTCAGCCCTAAGCCCTAAGCCCTAAACCCTCAACCCTAAACCCTAAACCCTCGCCAGCTCCGGAGGCTGGCCGCGAGCTCCCCGAGGTGCTGTGCCAGGCTGTAGCCGATGCACCGGAGATGGTGAGGAGTCCCCCGACTTTTTGAAGGGTTTAGGGTTTAGGGTTTAGGGTTTAGGGCTTAGGGTTTAGGGTTTAGGGCTTAGGGTTTAGGGTTTAGGGCTTCGGATTCACGATCTTCTGGCACGTCACAGGAATACGCTGCAAAGCCCATGAAGACTGGTAGGCCCTGAGAGTTCAGGGACAAAGCAAGATGCCTCATGTCAGTAGGCTTTGAATCATGGCAGACGCACGAATCTATCAGCGCACCTCCCTGGAGACCTCTCACCTTGCCTGCTCCGGCTCCGAAGGCTGTTCTAGGAGCTTTGAGGCTCAGAAGGTTTCAGGGCCGAGGGGGGGGGATAAACCCCGTTGAGGTGACTGGTCATGATGGACTCTTTGCCTTCGGGCTGCAAGTGTGTTTTGTTCAAGCTGCGGGGTTGAGTTCAGGTGTTTCAAGGCGTTAGGTTTCGTTAGGCTAGCTATTTGGGGCTTCGAGCATGCGCATCTTTGTGAACAACGTCGATGGGTTCTTGGCCGGTGCCGGGCTCAGTGTTTGAAGGGTCAGATGCGGGTTTCGAGCTTTCCAAGCGGTCCTTCAGGGAAACGTGCTGCAAGCGCAGTGGGAGAAGTAGCAGCGTCTGTAGCGTGTTCACAACAGTAGCAAGTCAGTAGAAATGCTCCGTGGAACCTGTGGCAGCAAGAAGAAGTCGCTGTTGTGGTGGGTCCGCTTAGCAGGAGCAGCATTCGTAGCAGCCGCAGCAGCAGTATCGTCAGTGCGCAAGAACTTTGAGGCTTGTCTTTCCATTCTCGGAAGGGCTCTTCAGAGCAACTGTGCAGGTGCACTTTGTGCTGACTTGGCCAAGTTGACCTCGGACATCGCCAGGATCTCACCACCTACAGGGCTACCACTTGTGTAGTTCAAACCCTGAAAACCGCAAACCTTCGACCATACCTTCTGTGCCTCAGAACCTGCAACCCGCAGCTTAATGCTTCAAAGGCCTGCCCCCACGGTTTAGGGTTTAGGGTTTAGGGTTTAGGGTTTAGGGCCCACCCCCCCCCTCCGCCCTCTCCCCCTCTCCCCCCTCCCTTTGTGCTTTCCGGGGAGATTCCACATTTGGGCCACCGAACCCTTCGCTAGACTCCACAAGCCCTGAACCTTACCCCAGACCTCAAGCCGGACCCACGCCTCAACATGTTGAGGCAAAACTATTCCTCACCCTGTTGTGCCAGGCCCCACTGGCGTAGCCTCTGGGGGTTTAGGGTTGAGGGTTCAGGGTTTAGGGTCGGTTTAGGGTTTAAAGGTTTTAGGGCTCCTGACACATCGACGACGTTCTGCCCCCGGGTCCAAAATGGCAGGCGTTGTCCCTCCCGCAGTGCCAGAAAGCTCTTGGAAAGTGACCATTGGTAGCTGCGGACATCTGCGAATGGCATGCTTAGCACAGGCAGTCATCTACGGCACCGTTCCTTCTTGTGCTGGTGTTGTTGGCGCCAGTTTGCTGCCATGAGGTCGGCACAAAGAAGACCAGCCGAGATGAACTTATACCTCCTTCGGTGAAGAGGGTCGTGCCTGGCCCCTACCCAACGTTTCCAGAATTCGTGCCAGCTTCCATCGGCTTTGGGAGTTTTGCGGGTTTCCGGAAATAGGGCTACCCTTTTTGGGGCCCCTTTAAGGGGCTTCTCTTCTATTAGGGGTCTAAACGGGGTACCCTCTATTTTGGGAAATGCCCCCTATTCCTTCGTGTTGGGCATGTCTGGTTTGCCGTTTCATTTCGGAGGTTCATCACTGGAGCCCTGTAGCCCTAAAGACATCCTCAGCCCGAGCTGTTGAGCCCTCGAATGACTCAACAGAGAGTGTCAATAACAGGGTTCTTAAGGGAGGGGCCTTAGGGAGTAGTGGGGGATCCTTGGGTTACATACCTTGAAAGCCCCGCCCTTAAGAACCCTGTAATAAGAATCGCTTTCTCAGGATGATCCCAGAGGTTCAGCCCCTCCTAAACCCTAAACCCTAACCCCTAAACCCTACACCCTAAACCCTAAACCCTAAACCCTAAACCCTACACCCTACACCCTAAACCCTAAACCCTAACCCTAAGCCCTAGCCCTTATCAGCAGTCACACAAGGTTCAAGCACGCCGCAGTTCATCACCAAGAGTACCAACACTTTCGGTACAACTGCGAGTTGAAAATCTCCCTGACTTGCAGCCCTCCAGTTCGTTCCAGGTTCGTTTTTGCCCACTCGAACAGCTACTCGAGAGGTCGGAATAATTACGAATCATTATACTCGAATAGCCCCCCGAAACCCTGCTCTAACTATTCAGGCCCCTATTACTCGCCTGAAGAGACTTTGCACATAGCCTTTTGGAGTTTAGAGCCATGGCCGCGGCACCTAAATCCGCAAATCGCTTGGCAGTCCCTGCACCAGAGAAGGCTGCTGGACTGGACCAGGTTTACGAAAGTTAAGGATTTAGGGTTTAGGGTTTAGGGTTTGGGTTTACGAGGGCTTAGGGTTTATAGGGCGCAGGGTAACTGTAGTCCTTGGTCCATGTATAAGGGTTTAGGGTTTAGGCTTTAGGGTTTAGGGGTTTAGGGTTTAGGGTTTAATGTTTAGGGTTTAGGGTTGAGGGTTTAGGGGGCAGGGGTAGAATGAGGGCAGGATGAAGACTCTGCCTGTTCGGTCGCAGGCTTCAGGGAATTAGTCAACCCGAAGGATCCCTTAAAGGGTTTTATCGGGGCATAAACCCTAAACCCTAAACCCCAAACCCTGAACTCTAAACCCTAAACCCTAAACCCTAAACCCTAAACCCTAAACCCTAAACCCTAAACCCTAAACCCTAAACCCTAAACCCTAAACCCTAAACCCTAAACCCTAAACCCTAAACCCTAAACCCCTAAGGTCGCGCGCTCCTATTTCCCCACGGCTTGGTTCAGCCTTCTTCAAGTTTTCGTTGTAGGGTATGAGGGCAGCTCGATCTCAAAGCTTCAGAGCCGGGGTTTAGGGTTTAGGGTTTAGGGGTGTTTAGGCACATTTCACGGAGGTAGACATCCAGGGCGCGTCGGACAGAGCCGAGATGATGGTGGGCCGGGTGTGCTCGCGAGGGCGCTACCACAGGTTCGAGGACTGATGTGGGGGTTTACCTAAACCCTAAACCCTAAACCTTAAACCCTAAATCCTAAACCCTGAACCCTAAACCCTAAACCCCAAACCCTAAACCCTAAACCCTAAACCCTAAACCCTGAGCCCTAAACCCTAAACCCCAAACCCGAAACCCGAAACCCTAAACCCTAACCCGAAACCCTAATTTCGGAGACCCCCACGTGGGGGCCCGTTCTCGAGGCTGGGAATCCCTAGGACCCTAAAGCCTAAAGGATGTTGAACGTCCCTCAGCCCTATACGCTAAACCCTAAACCCTTAACCCTTAACCCTCTAAACCCTAAACCCTTAACCCTTAACCCTCTACCCTCTAAATCCTAAACCCTAAGCCCTAAACCCTTAAACCCTTAAACCCTTAAACCCTTAAACCCTTAAACCCTTAAACCCTTAACCCTTAACCCTTAACCCTCTACCCTCTAAATCCTAAACCCTAAACCCTAAACCCTTAAACCCTTAAACCCTTAAACCCTTAAACCCTTAAACCCTTAAACCCTTAAACCCTTAAACCCTTAAGCCCTTAAACCCTTAAGCCCTTAAACCCTTAAACCCTTAAACCCTTAAACCCTTAAACCCTTAACCCCTTAAGCCCTTAAACCCTTAAACCCTTAAACCCTTAAACCCTTAAACCCTTAAACCCTTAAACCCTTAAACCCTTAAACCCTTAAACCCTTAAACCCTTAAACCCTTAAACCCTTAAACCCTAAACCCTACACCCTAAACCCTAAACATCCCGAAGCCCTGAGAACCTAGATCTTCACGAGACTTCAGGAGCGAAAATTGGAGCAGGACTACGAGGTGGGTCGGGGAGACCGAGTACGACCTAGACGCGTGCGTAGGAAACGGTTTAGGGTTTCGGGTTTCGGGTTTAGGGTTTAGGGTTTCGGGTTGAGGGTTCGGGGGCCTGCTTCGTGCTGGGCAGCAGTACAATGTGTTTCATGGGTGGCACCCTGGCAGTCCCCTGATACCTCATTTAAAGTTGCAAAAGCTCCCCTTAGCGCACGTCGCCCAGGGGCCTCAAACCTCTCCCCTCACCCCTAACCCCTAAAACCCCTAAAACCCCTAACCCTAAACCCTAAACCCCGAAACCCCGAAACCCCTAAACCCCTAAACCCCTAAACCCCTAAACCCCTAAACCCCTAAACCCCTAAACCCCTAAACCCCTAAACCCTAAACCCTAAACCCCAAACCCAGAGGTGGACAAGAACCACGTGCTGGGGAGTGGCGCAAATGGCCAGGTCGGGGTGCGGCACCAAAACTGAGGGGCGGCATCCTTTGGGTTTTTGGAGGTCTCTTAAGGGGTTTAGGGTTTAGGGTTTAGTGGTTAGAGTTTAGGGATTTTTGGGCCCAGTGTTTTCTTCTTTCCTGAGCTTGGCAAAGGCTTGTTTTTCTTGGTGAGGTTGGCGAACCCCCCCGGCCCCGGTCCTCTGGTCCTCCTGTCCTCTGGTGCTTTGACCCCTACCCCCCGCAAGACCCCCACCCTCTTGTCAGACTTGTTTCATAGAATGTCATGCCGTCAATGGTGGTCAATGGCCCATCGATGGGCATTCCTTCAAAGCGGGGCTTTGAAGCTTCCCAATGCAGCCCCAAGGCCCCCCCCCCCCCGCCACGCTTACGCCGCTCTCGCTGCGCACGCCCAACGTTGCACAATTCTCGCTCGCTCTCTCTTTCTCTCGCTCTCTCTTTCTCTCTCTCTCTCTCTCCCTCTCTGTCGCGATCTTTCTCTCTCTCTCTCTCTCTCTCCCTCTCTGTCGCGATCTCTCTCTCTCTCTCTGTCTCTCTCTCTCTGTCTCTCTCTCTCTCTCTCTGTCTCCCCACGCCTGCCCCCACCTGAAACAGGACAAGCAAACGACACAGGTTTATTCTACGTTGGTTCTTTCCGAGTGCTTGAAAGCTTGCACGTGAAGTTGTGTTTTGGTCCTCGGGGGCGGGGTGTTGGGCAGGGGGTTTGGGTTTAGGGGTCAGTTTAGAGTATGGTCAGCGAGGGTCCTGGCAGTTTGCAAGGTCATCATACCTTTGTTGTCAACCATGCTATAGCTATGGACTTCCTCAGTTAAACCCCTAAACCCCTAAACCCCTAAACCCCTAAACCCCTAAACCCCTAAACCCCTAAACCCCTAAACCCCTAAACCCCTAAACCCCTAAACCCCTAAACCCCTAAACCCCTAAACCCCTAAACCCCTAAACCCCTAAACACCTAAACCCCTAAACCCCTAAACCCCTAAACCCCTAAACCCCTAAACCCCTAAACCCCTAAACCCCTAAACCCCTAAACCCTAAACCCTAAACCAAAAACCCTAAACCCTAAACCCTAAACCCTAAACCCTAAACCCTAAACCCTAAACCCTAAACGAATTACGTGGCGTTGAAATCCGCGGTCGCCAGGTCTGGCTGGTGCGCAGCCGCCACTGCCACAAGAAGCGCGCGTTTGCCGCCAAGTGCGGGCCTTAAAGGTCTACTTCGAGGTTCATCGTACATATTACCCAGCTAGACTATAGCTGTACTTCTTACTGTACTTAGAACCATATTAGGCACTGAAGGGGCTGATAAGTGGGTTGTAAGTACAGTTGTAGCTGGTTATCAAGTACCATGAACCTCCAAGTAGAGGTTGGAAACCCCTTAAGATTTGCCACCCCCCCCCCCTCCTTCATTCCCGTTATAGTAAGAGAGAGTCATAGTAGTAGCAAAGCGGATTTTGAACGATGGTCTACAAGGACTCTTGGTTGCGGAGTTTAGGTTGCTGCGTTGTGGGGGCTTCTGGCTAAACCCTAAACCCTGAACCCTAAACCCCAAACCCTGGAACCCCAAACCCTGAGCCCTAAAAGCCAAATCCCTAACACCCTAAACCCCTAAAACCCTAAAACTCTAAACCCTGAACCCCGAGCTACAAAGACCCTCTCAAGCCCTCGGGGGGGTTTGGGGAGCTGTCCTAGGTAAGGGGGCGCTGAAAAAGGAGCCCTTCTTAACCCTCTTCTGGCTCTCTTAAACAGGGACCTTATTCAGAGGGTCTAAAAACCCTAAACCCTAAACCTAAACCCTAAACCCTAAACCCTAAACCCTAAACCCTAAACCCTAAACCCTAAACCCTAAACCCTAAACCCTAAACCCTAAACCCCGAACCCCAAACCCAAACCCTGAACCCTAAACCCTAAATCCTATCCCCTAAGCTGAGGACCTACAGACTGAGCGGCATCTCGGAGTTGAAGTGCCAGAGCCCCAGAGCCCACGTGGTTTGAGGGCCTATGTGAGGGTTTACGTGCTGAATGGTTTGAGGGTTTAGGGTTTAGGGTTTCGGGTTTAGGGTTCAAGGGTTTCAAGGTTTTTCAGGGTTTAAGGGTTTAGTGATTTAGGGTTTTAAAGGTTTAATTGCGGTAAGGGTTTGATTCAAGGTTTTCGGGTTTAAGGGTAAGGTTTTAAGCCAAAGTTTTGGCGAGTCGGGGGAGGGGCTCAAGTTATTCGGTTTAGGGTTTATAGGGTTTAGGGTTTAGGGTTTAGGGTTTAGGGTTTGGGGTTTAGGGTTTAGGGTAGTTTGTACCTGGAAAGGCAAAGAGATCGAGACGGAAGTGGAGATTCTCCTCACTGTGGACCATCCAAACCTTGCTCGCATGGTCGATGCCTACGAGACGAAGGACGAATCATGTTGGGGTTTATAGGTTTAGGGTTTAGGGTCTAGGGTTTCGGGTTCATCCGATGTTGGATGAGTTGAAAGACTGGCTTGCAGGCATCACTCACGCTGGTCATGGAGCTCCTAGAAGGAGGACAGCGGCCAGATTCTGCATAATATACTACTATTTGCTTAAGAACCCCCCCGCCCCAAAAAAATATGAAAAACTATTACTTTTATAGGGCAATAGAGGGACTGCTATTTTACATGTTTTGGGGGTTCTTACGCAAAGAGTAGTGTAGGGGTCGGAAGAATTACCAATAGTATTCCGTTATGGCCCCTTCATGAGTATACTGCTAACCCCGAAACCCTATTCTAATTTGGTATTACCCTGCAAATGGCAGCTGATGCAAACAAAGTTGAAGGCATGATGTTTTGTGCTCAGCGTCGAGGATCATCTGTTTACCAGTGGCTGAGACAGCTTTTGTGCGAAGGAGAGCTCTTCGACCGCATCCTCGCGGCAGGCGCAGTGCCATCCGAAGTATATGTGCCCAAAGCCACGCAAGCTGTGGGAAGGACACTTCACAGAGCGTGATGCCGCAGAAGCGATTTGGCAAATGCTGCTGGCGATCCGTTTCTTGGCCGGTCACGTATCAAACCTGCAGTGCACAGAAGTCATGCAGAACATTGGCCGACAAACTACTTACTGGTGCTGGTAGCATTGTGCCGGCAGTTTCAACAACAACTCGACAGCGCGACAAGTGTTCTGTTGTACTGTTGTTGTACTGCTTCTTGTTGTTGGTGCTCTCGATCGACGGTTGAATCTAACCCGTGCTTTGTGTGACCGCGAAAGTCAAGGATATCTGCACGGCCGGGAGCCAAGATCATCCTGGTTTCGCGCAGCTCAAAGAAGGCATGTATTCTGCTACAGTACCTTCTGCCGCCGCTGTGGTGCCAATGACTATGAACGGAGAAGGCGCCCCTAAACCCTAAACCCAGAATCCTAAACCATAAAACCCTAAAACCCTAAAACCCTAACACCCTAAAACCCTAAAACCCTAAACCCTGGCATTTGCTGGATCCATGCAAGTGACGAGGCCTTGGCATCGTGCACAGAGACCTCAAGCTGGAAAACTGGCTGTACGAGAAGAAGGGTGGCATGCCGGCTGCAGGGGACCATGCCTCTCCATTTTGAAGCCCTAGACCCTAAACCCTAAACCCTAAACCCTAAACCCTAAACCCTAAACCCTAAACCCTAAACCCTAAACCCTAAACCCTGAACCCTAAACCCTAAACCCTAAACCCTAAACCCTAAACCCTACAAGTCGCCAGGCCAGGACTTGAAGCTCATCGACTTCGGCCTCTCGAAGTTCTGGCGCCCGGACAAGAGCATGGAGATGCGAGCCGCTCGCCCCGTAAGCCGGTGGAGGTTTAGGGTTTAGGGTTTAGGGTTTAGGGTTTAGGGTTTAGGGTTTAGGGTTTAGGGTTTAGGGTTTAGGGTTCGGGTTTAGGGTTTAGGGCGTGTAAGGTTTCGGGCTTGCAAAGTTGAGGGTTCAGGATTTAGGATTCCGCTTGATGATCGCTACAATGGGGTACTCCTTCTGTACCCCAAATAGACTAGAATCCCCCTAAAGGAAGCCCAAGAAAGGGTACTCCTAATGCCAGAAACCCCCCAAAACATCTCGTAAAATTGCACGCCGCGACGTGCCACTCGCAATCCCTTGCTCTGGTTCGTGAACTCTGCTTGGAGGTTTAGGGTACTTATAACCCCCAATCATGACTCCACTTGAAAGCCCGCTTTAAGCCTTTAAGTCGGTAGACTTCTACTTGGGGCTACAAGTACCCGGCACCCCAAATCCCTAGACCCTAAACTCTAAACCCTAAACCCCTAAACCCCGAAACCCTATCCCCTTAACCCTAAACCCTAATCCCTACACCCTAAACTCTAAACCCTAAACCCCTAAACCCTACCCCCTAAACCCTGAATCCTAAACCCTAAAACCCTGAATCCTAAACCCTAAAACCCTGAACCCTAAGGGGGAGGGTGGATACAGGTTGGCACTCTGGATTACATGGCGCCCGAGGCTTGCCGAAGGGGCAAAGGGTCCCGGGCTGTGCAAGGGATAACTCCGAAATCCTACAGACGACAACGGCGATAAGGGTTCAGGGTTGAGGATTAGGGCTCAGGGCTCAGGTTTAAGGCTTAGGGCTTGGGGTTCAGGGCTTGAGGCTTAGGGCCTGGGGTTCACGGTTTAGAGCTTAGGGTCTAGGGCTTGGGGGTTCAGGCGTGGGTTCCTGGGAAGAGGCTTGGAAGGGTGAGCTCCTGCGCTCAGGATCGGGCTTGCGACTGTCCGTCTTGTCCGTCCATTTTTTTTAATAACTCGATATTGTATACATAGAAATCCATAATATATACATATAAAAATATGTATAGAAATATGTATATATATATATATGTATATATGTATATACATTCACGTGGAATTTTTCAGAATTGACAGATGTAAGCGTTGGTTTCGGGTTCAGTGATGCAGGCTTTTGGGGCCGCCAAAAGCATCCCCAAGCTCCAGAGATTAGGGACTGCAGCTGAAGTATGGGCCCTTGGGGTTATATAGGGTTTAGGGTTTAGGGTTTAGGGTTTAGGGTTTAGGGTTTAGGGTTTAGGGATGGCCCGAATCTCGGTTTCAAGTCGAATAAGGGGTATATAAAGGGTCCCCCATTTAAGGGTCCATGCTAAGGGACCATGGAACTACCCTAAGACCTTGAACTCTACAGCCGCGACCCTGGACCCCACTCCCACAACCCCAAGCTCGTGTCTTATCGCCTGTTGAATTGCATCGGTTCGCACCAGGCACTGCTCTGCGCGTTCATGTTAATTTAAAGAACACCAAGGTTGGGCTTAATGAATTACAGGGTTTGTTTAGGGTTTAGGGTAGGTTTGGGGTTTAAGCCGAAAACCCTTCTAAACCCTGAACCCAAGACCGTAAACCTTAAACCCTGTAAACCCTGGACCCTGAACCCTGTAAACCCTAGACCCTAAGCCATCATAACTGAGCCGAAGCCGCCTCAATCCCGTAAAACTTGTGAAGACACACCCACAAGCCCGAAGCAGCAAATCCACCCAAAGTTGCCAACACCTCAGAGCCTCCCAACCCCAAAAGCCTGTGGAACCCCAAAACCCCAAACCCCTGTAAGCAATTGAAATCTAAACCTCAAGAACGCGCGACAAGCCCTGTCTCCCCAAGCCCCCCAAACTCTGAACCCCACACTGTGACACCACGCTCGTCGAAGCCCCCTAAACTGTAAACCCTCAACCGCCAAACCCCCCAAACCCCAAAACAACTCCCCCGGACCCCCAAAACCTAAATCCCCCTTGGGAATGATTCTTATTTTTGTTTATATAACACCCAAGAGGATATTAAACACAATATTTGATTAAGGTTCTACGAAGGAGTATGGAACACCCATGGGAGGTGCTGCACAGGAACTACACCTCCAAGTGCGACTTGTGGAGTATGGGGGACGCTCGGAGGGATTCAATGGCGTTTAGGGTTTGAGGGGCTTTAGGCTTTAGGCTTTAGGGTTAGTGTTTAGTGTTTAGGGTTTCGGGCTTAGGGAAGGTTCAGGGTTTTGGGGGTTTAAGGTGGGGTTTAATTAGGGTTTAGGTTTAGCGTTCAGGGTTTAGGGGGTGTATATAGAGGTTAGATGTTACCACGCGCTTCGAAAGGAAGGGCTTTTGGTGTTTCGGTTTCGGGCTTTGGGGTTGAGGACTTTGGCTTTAGCTTGTAAAGTGCGCCTAAACGCAAAACCCTGACCCCTAAACCCTAAACCCTGAACGCTAGACCACAGGCCCTAAACCCAGACCCTAAGCCCTGAGCCCCAAGGTCATTGCCTACACATTGCTTGTGGGAAGCTTCCCCTTCTCGGGACGAGATGGCGACACCGCCATGCTGCAGCGGATTGCCACAGGAAGGCAGGGTTTAGGGTTTAGGGTTTAGGGTTTAGGGCTTAGGGTTTAGGGTTTAGGGTTCAGGGTTTAGGGTGCAGTTTTTACACTCAAGGGCCCACAGGCCGTGCTTTTTCGGGGTCATCGGCGTTTTTTTCTCTGATAGAATTCCTAGGTCACCTACAACAGCTCAAGTGTTGGGGCGCGAAAGATGAGGCCATCACCTGTAGCGAACCCTCGGCATGAGCATCACAGGTTTGCCACGGAGCGCGACGCCTGGAGGGATGCCTCCGCGTCTGCCAAGGATGGGGAAGTGCTGATCGACGCCCGAAGTGCCATAACTCTTACAGTAGGGGGTCAGTTCTAAAATTTAGGGTCCCTTATTTGGGTAGCCTAAATACGGGGACCCCAAAAGGGACCATGAGAAGTGACCACAAGAGCCACTACTAGAAATTCCTAGAAATCTTTATGAATCCTGCAAACCCAACAGGCCCTACAAACCCTTGAAGCTCTACCTACATTCCCAAACTCTCTTCCCCATATTCCCCATCCACGGTGAGCTTGAACCAGGACTTTGTGCGGAAGCTGCTGACGGCCATCCCGGCTGCAACCAGCAAGCGTATTGCAAGCACCAAAGACACCACGCAGAGACTCCTCCAATGAAAGGCCGCTGAAAGACCCTGAAGCCTAAAGAGCCCTTAGCCCTAAAGACCTCACAACCCGAACTAGCCTTAAACCCTACACCCTTAGGCCCTTAAGCCGTTAAACCCTTAAACCCTTAAACCCTGAACTCTAAACCCTTTAACCCTTTAGCCCTTAAACCCCTAAACCCCTACACCTTCACGACCCCGACACGGGCCGAAGCCAAGGTTGAGGCAGCCCTAAACCCTAAACCCTAAACCCTAAACCCTAAACCCCTAAACCCTTCAACCCTTGAGCCCTTAAACCCCTAAACCCTAAACCCTAAACCCTGAACCCTAAACCCTAAACCCTAAACCCTAAACCCCTAAACCCCTAAACCCCGAAACCCCTAAACCCCTAAACCCCTACACCGAAGCCCAGGTTGAGGCAGCCAGCCGCCCGGATGCCGACCAGGCCTTGGAGTGACACGGCCTCGATCCGATTCTGGGGGGTTTAGGGTTTAGGGTCTAGGGTTTGGGGTTTGGGGTTTAGGGTTAGGGTTTAGGGTTTGGGGTTTAGGGTTTAGGGGTTTAGGGTTTGGGGTTTAGGTTTTGGGGTTTGGGGTTTAGGGTTTGGGGTTTGGGGTATAGGGTTTGGGGTTAAGGGTTAGCTGTAATTAAACCGCTAACGCGAGGCCGTTTCGGCTAGGTAAAGGTACTTGAGGCTGAGAGGCGGGTCTTGGGGTGTGTCAGCGGGTCCCGGGAGGTGAGATCACACGTTTTCCAGGTCCAAACCCGCAAGAAAATCCGGGCCCCTAGTCGCTGGAAGCACTGCGGCGGGGTTGTTATAGGGGTGTAACTCGGCCGGTACGCTACCGAGCCGCTTCCTCATCCGTGAGTTTAGGTTGCATAGAGATGTCAGAGCGCTTTAGGCGGCTTAATCGGGGTTTTGGGGTGCCAACATTGATGCCGTAGGGTGTCATTCTGCTAGTAAAGGTTTGGGGCTTGTCGGGTATAGGGAGTGGCATGATTTTGCGGGTTCCGGGTTTAGGGGTTCGGGGTTTTGGCCTTGCAGCATATTTATGGGCCGAGGGCTTGGGTTTCAGTGAACCGTCTCAGGGTTTCAGAATTTGGTTCCCTTCCCCTTCCCCCAAGCCCTAAACCCCAAACCCTAAACCCCAAGCCCTAAACCCCAAACCCTGAACCCTAAACCCTAAACCCTGAACCCTAAACCCTAAACCCTAAACCCTGAACCCTGAACCCTCCCAGGCATCCCTGGATTGCCAAAAGGGAGTCAGTGGCTCGCAGCTACGTCAGCAAGGACCGAGGGTGGGCCGGGCTGCTGCAACAGCGCCTCGGCCCTAAAACCCTAAACCCTGAATCCTAAACCCCTAAAACCCTAAAACCCTAAAATCCTAAACCCCAAAAACCCTAAAACCCTAAAACCCTAAGCCCGAAACCCTAAAACCCTAAACCCTAAACCCTAAAACCCCAAGACCCTCAAGCCCTTCAAGCCTTGGGGCTGTCGGGGCTTCGAGTCCTGTAGGCAAAAAGGCTTGGAGATTTAGGCTTTAGGGTTTTAGGGTTCAGGGTTTAGGGTTTAGGGTTTTAGGGTTTAGGGTTTCGGCTTTAGGCTTCAGGCTTCAGGGTTTCGAAAGGGTTTGTGTTCAAGTGCCAGGACTTTGAAACCCCCAGAGAAGCTCAGGGTTGCCTTATAAGCCCTTTTAGTTCAGCCCTCAGACCTCAAACAGCAAAACAGCTACACACATGCACGAAACAGGTAGCTAGCCATCTAAGTTAAGACCAAGCCCTATAGACCCTGTCCACACTGCTCAAGCAGCCCTGCACACCTAGTTAGACCAATAACCGCCGCAATAAAGCATTTTCAGCCCTGTAAGCCCTGCAATAAGCGTGATGAAACTAGGTAAGCTCCATAAGTCCCGTCAGACGCTTACAACCAAACCCACTAACCCTATAAGCCTTACCATAGGCACTATCAGAACCCTAAACCCTAAACCCTAAACCGTAAACCGCCCTATAGGAAAGCCCAGAACCCCCCTCCCCCTCCCCAATAAGAGCGAGCCCTGCCAGGACATTGTCGATGCACTTTGTTCTTTTTCCGAGGCGTCGGCCTTTCGCCGTAGCTTGCTTGAGGTCAGTTTATTTTTTTGAAGTCTTGCTTCTTACATCATTGTACTAGTGTATATCTTATCAAGATATTTGTTTATCATTATTATACCATTATATATGTATATATGTGTATATATATATAGAGATATATCTCTTATTATCTCATTGCGCCTTCGCTTCGAAAGCCTGAAACAGCTGAGGTGCCTGTTTGCTAGTCATGGCCATTTCCCTCTCCAACGAGGAGCGCTGGCTGCTTCCAATGGGTTTCTGTGGGCTTCAGGGGTGTGCCTCTGGCTATACCCGGAATGCATAAGCAAGAAAGGGCATGTGAAAGAACATGCGCAAGCAGCGGAACTGCAGAAGTATCAGCTTGCGCAAGCAAAAATGCACAAGCAGCAATGCATAATATAATACGCAAAGAAGCAGAAGCAGAACTGCATAAGCAGAGGGTACATGGGTCCCGGGTATCCGAAGCCTGGCATGAAATCCCCAAAAGCGAGTGACGAGTAAGCCGAAACCCTAAACTGTCCCCTGAGCCCTAGACCCCACGCCCCCTTAAACCCTGAACCCTACAACACTGAACCCTAAACCCTAAAACCTAAACTCTAATCCCTAAACCCTAAACCCTAAAAACCCTAAACCTTCTCAACTCACTTGAGGAGCGGGCGGAGGTCCACAAAGCCTTTCTTGAGATCGACAAGGCCTGGATTTTGCTGGGTCAGGTTCAGGGTTTAGGGTTCATGGTAAGGTTAGTATGGGGTTTAGGGTTTAGGCATAAGTGTTTAGGGTTTAGGGTTTAGTGTTTAGGATGGTTTAGGGCACTCTTTCAAGGCTCAGTGTCTAGGCAAGACGCAGCCTGCGGGGTGAATATTTGTTTAATTGTATGGGTTAACAGGGGTTATTCTCGGTCAATATTGTTTACAATGTGGCAACTCAGCAGGACCACAGCGGGACGATTACCCTCAGCGAGCTGCGCAGCGTGCTTGAGGACTGGACTTCACATGACTCTCGAGGGGAGTGCACTGCTCGGCTGCTACGATCGTGATGCTGCAGTTGACCTCGCCTGAAATGCGTGGTCTCTTGAAACTGGAGGGCATAGGGGAACGTAGCTTCAAAGAGATGCCGTAAAAGCGAGTGTTGAGAAGAGTGTCCTCATGGCGCAAGGAGAAATTCCACATTGAGGATGCAGCGGTGGCCAGGACCAGCATCCTTTCAGTGTGGGTCCGACAATCCGACAGATGTTCCTTGGACCCCCCTTGCCGCCAACATCACGCGGAGCTGAGCCAGCAGATGCACGTTCCGGCCAGGACATTCCAGTCGCTTCAATCGCCATTGTCTAGACAGGCACTCAGGGCCACGTCACGTAGGGACAAGAGGAGCCCACTGGAGCTGCCCTCGCCCCAAGGCGATTTTGTCGTTGAGCCTGCTGAGCGCTTTGAGCTTTTTTTGGTCCTGTTGAGCCTGAGCTGAGGAGACGAGGTAATCAACTACTCGGACTTTCTGGCGGCGATGATGTCGCAACGCAGCTAAGCGGCAGTCTGCCGGCCTTGCGCAAAGGGCAACCGCCTATGTGTGGGATGAAGCTGCTCCCAGGCATCTCCATTCATGATGACCTGCTGCATGCAGCCTTCGCGCGGTTCGACACAGACAACTCGGGGTACATCACACTCCCGAAGCCGGAGCCTCAGTCCGTGAGAGAATCCTTTGAGTACCCCTTCTTTGCCCCCCTCCCCCCCCCCCCAAGCCGCTTTCGGACCTTTGAACCCAAAGCCCTCAATCCCACCAGGCAAATTTCGGAACATGCTTGTGAATTCCACACGTCAGTCCCAGCCATATTCAGCCCTCACGAACGGGGTTGAGGGTTTAGGGTTTAGGTGCTGTGGAGAAACCGGGCCCCCCATGATTCTTCTGATGTTTCTCGAATCGTGTAGCTTGTGCATGCCAGCATGATTTAAGAATAGCTGTTAAGAATAATAATAATAATAGTAATAGTAACAATAATGAGTGCATCTTTATGATTCTTTCCCCCCCCAAACCCTGGAAGGCTGAAGATGCTGCTGGGAGATTCCTTGTCCGAGGCAGAGCTGAAGCAAGTTATGCTAGAGGCGGATCCCCGGCATACAAAAGCTTTATGAGGACTCGTTTCATCTATTCTCGATTGGATGGAGTGCCATGTTCCTTTCAGTGCAGGAGCCATGCTCCTTTCAGTGCATGAGCAAACATTCCCAGCTTGCCAAGGACAAGGACAAAGACGGCTACATCTCCATGAACGAGTTTGTGCAGCTCCGACCTCAGAGACGAAAGAGATGATCTCGGCCTTGACGTAGTTGAGGGTTGCTCAAAAGCTCTTTGTTTTCGAGTCGAGTTATACTCAGACGACCATGACATGATTGAAATCAGGGTCCGCGAAAGTCAGCGAAAGGGCCCGCGAAAGACAATTATAATTGTTTAAAGTACTGCTTTGTACAGAACATGTCACGGACAGTTTGTGTATATACTTGGTAAAGAGTACGTGGCACAAGAGACGGTGCAATGTACATATATATATATATATATTTCATGTCAATGCTCTGGGAACGAACACGTGTCTCAGATAGGCTTCGCTTGTCGGGCAGAATGGCCAAAGACTTGAACAACCGCCAACTAAGATCTCAAAGCCCCAGGGCAACAAACAGACTCAACCAAGTCTCAAAGCAGACTCAGGGATGTTGCATCGACTTTCTTTCAGGTACTTGCAGTGTCGGCGCAGCTCTGAGCGGCATCTAGAGGACCAACCGCGGGAGGGGGTTGAGATGAGATCAGGAGAGTTCCCGCGCAACATTGCTCCAGCCTCGTCACCAAAACACATGAAGATCAGGAAGTGTACTCTAGGGGTCGGAATAATTACAATAATTACTCATAATGTGCTCCAGAACCCTTTTCTAATCATGCAGGCCCCTACTTTACGAAGGTTTGACGATGCGTGAGTCACGGGCATGTTTAGCTAGGGTTTATGGTTTAGGGTTTAGGGTTGAGGGTTCAGGGTTTAGGGTTTAGGGTTTAGGGAGTTTTACTGAGCAGGCGGCCACATGCGCCATCGATCGAGAGCTTCGGCGGCCGAGCCAGTCCCTTGCCGATTCAATCGATGCCAGTTGGGATGTTCCCCGTTCTACTAACAGTCCTTGAGAGGGATTATGGTACCCCCTAAACCCTAAACCCTAAACCCTAAACCCTAAACCCTAAACCCTAAACTCTAAACCCTAAACCCTAAACCCTAAACCCTAAACCCTAAACCCCTTATAATCTCCATTAAGGACTGTTTGTACAAGGGGGAACATCCCAAGATGCCAGTATGATTCTGTTCACGACTCGTCAGGGTGAGGGCCCAATGTTGCGACGGAGTCCTTTACAAGGTTTAGGGTTTAGGCTTTAGGGTTTGGGGTTTAGGGTTTAGGGTTTAGGATTGGGGGTTTAGGGTTTAAGGTTTAGGGCTTAAGGTCAGCGTGCTTAGCGTCGCAGTGGAACTGAAGGGACAGCCAAGGAAAATGTCTGTGCGAGAGCGCCGGCGAAGCTCCGTCATCGTAAAGCTGCCAGTCTGGATCAAGGAAGTAGGGTTTAGGGCTTAGGGTTTAGGGCTTAGGGTATAGGGTTTAGGGTTCATTTGAACCTCCCCCCCCCCCCACCCTATGACCACGTGGAGCCCACATGTTGCCGAACTAGCGGTGAAGCCCCCTGCCTTTCCATGGAACGTATGTGCTCAGGAAAAACTCCGCCAAGGAGGAGATCTCCTGCGGCGCTGCCCTGACAAAACTCGCAGAGCTTTGCAAGCCGATTTGTTGTTTCGGGTCCTGTGGTGTGATGTGGTCTCAGCTGATGGAATCTCTCAAATGAGCGCGCAGCTGATGAGCATCACACCATACAGCCGCTTCTCTCGCATGCCAGTTATGTCATCATGCGCTGTAGTGATGCCCAGAGGTTGCGGAATAATCCATGCAGCCAACCAGGAGATTGGAGAACCAGTGTTGCCGGGCACGTGTGCACAGTGTGCGGTGTGTGCGGATACGTGCTTAATTAATATGGTTTGGAGATGTTTGGAGTACAGTGTGCGGATCTTCACATCCTTCTCCACTCCTGGCAGGCCAGCCCCCTAGCTCGGCCGGTTTTCCATGCAGATTTGCCCACGCTTAGATTGACCTCGGAGCGAGGCAACTAGTCCTCAAGTCCTCCGGCCTCGAGGTCACTCTAGGGGTCGTGGCAAAGCCTGGACGGGCCTACCAGGCCCAGCAAGAAGCTACAATCCATGTCAAGACTGTTTGCGAATTTTATTTGACAGCCCATGCCTGCAAATCACCCGCCGGGAACGATCTGCTTTGACAAAAGTCTGCGTGGAAAAGTTAAGGTTTCCAAGCAAGAGTTGCAAGATTCAATGTGTAGTCTCTTTCTTGTCTTGCTGCATCGAGTGAGTTGAGCGTCTATAGCCTCAGGAGGACCTTCCTTTTCGGCGTGACCGAACGAGCGCCCTGATTCTGACTCTCAGAGCCAAGTATCGCCCCGACTAGGAACAACAGCAGCCAAACTTACCCGAACCCAACCCCAAATCCCGCAACCTGAATCTCCCGGACCCTGAGCCCTGAATGCTGAACGCTGTCCCGAAAAGGAGCGCGAACAACCGAGCCCTAAACCCTAAGCCCCAAGCCCTAAACCCCAAACCCTAAGCCCCAAGCCCTAAACCCTAAACCCCAAGCCCTAGCCCCTAGCCCTAAACCCTAAACCCTAAACCCTAAGCCCTGAAAGCGCACTGACGGAGGCCGAGGGTAGATGTTCGGCGCTTCCTAAAGGCAGCCCCGCGTCGGATTGGGGTTTCGTACTTCGTACTTAGCCAATCCTTGGGACCCTAAACCCTAAACCCTAAACCCTAAACCCTAAACCCTAACCCCTAAACCCTAAACCCTAAACCCTAAACCTGTTTGAGTGTCTGTGCGAGGCATGAGTCGCTTCAGTACTTCACAAAGAGCTAGCGACCCGACCCTAGGAAGTGGGGGTGCTCCTCGCCAGACGTGCGACATAAGTCAGGTTTAGGGTTTAGGGTTTAGGGTTTAGGGTTTAGGGTTTAGGGTTTAGGGTTTAGGGGTTAGGGGTTTAGGGTTTAGGGTTTAGGGTTTAGGGTTGAGGGTTTCTAAGGTTGGAACCATGGGCCCTTGGTATGGCCCCTTACCCCTGTTTAAAGGGCTCTAAAGGGATCCGAAGTATGGGCCCTTATCATGTAAAGTGTATTTAAGGGTTATAGAACAGAGAACCCAATTAAGGGCCCATACTTCGGATCCCCTACTTTTTCTTCTAGAGGAAGAGGTCCAGGGATGAAGAGGGTTTAGGGTCTAGGGTCTAGGGTTTAGGGTTTAGGGTTTTAGGGTTTAGGGTTTAGGGTACCCCTAAGGTTGTACCGCTAAAGGTTCCCCTTAATATACTCCCAATATGCCCCTTTTTTACCTTAAGGGTCCAAGGTAGAACCCCTAGAAGAGGAGGAATGATGCTAAACCTATTTAGTTCCCTGGTGATTGAAGAAGTGAGGTTTGCAGATTCAAACGATTGGCTTTTCCGTTTAGGCTTTGGTGGTTTGTGGGTTTAGGGTTCAGGGCTGTCGCGATATACGACTGATGTGTATGAAGGCTTCGCGAAAACCAACACATGCGTCCGCTTTTCTGTTTTTTTGTTCTTCTGTGGTTCTAAAAACACGGCTCCCTACAATGCTGAGGATTGTGAGTTCTGAATGATCGTGCTCTGCCACATGGGGGGGGGGGAACAACACGTGGACGTAGATGTGCGCAAGCATGTTCATGCCCATGTGTATTATGCCTGAATTACATAACATGTTACCTTATTCGATGCCTTGCTGCGCAGGGCATCGTGAACTGCAGCGCCAGACTGGCCTGTTTGGAAAGACTGGACTAGTTTAGGGTTTAGGGCTTAGGGTTTAGGTTTAGGGGTTAGGGGTTTAGGGTTTAGGGTTTAGGGGGTTTAGGGGCTTAGGGTTTGGGGCTTAAAGTTTAGGGTTTAGGATCTTACATGCAGGCAACCCGAAGAAGTAGACCTGGGCCTATAGTTGCGGTTTTACTCGGGCCGTTGCCTGGAGCAGAAGTTGACCACTGAGGAGGGGGGAAGGCCCTAAACCCCAAACCCTAAACCCTAAACCCCAAACCCTAAACTTTAAACCCTAAACCCTAAACCCTAAACCCTAAGCCCTAAACCCTAAACCCTAAACCCTAAGCCCTAAGCCCTAAACCCTAAACCAGGTCATCGTCTATGACCTTCACGATGCCGACTTCGAAGAGATCGAGTTGCGAGCTGAGTCGAAGTTAGGTGTCGTTTAGGGCTTAAGGTTTTGGGGTTCAGGGTTTAGGGTTTTTTCGTGCCTTGTGCCTAGTGAAGGGAAGTTTTGAATCTCAGGCTTGGTGCCACGGCTTGCAATTCAGGAAGGGATGTTGCAGACCTTAATCTGCGATCCTAAACACTACAGCCTACATCCAAAACCCTAAACTCTAACCCTAAACCCTAAACCCTAAACCCTAAACCCTAAACCCTAAACCCTAAACCCTAAACCCTAAACCCTAAACCCTAAACCCTAAACCCTAAACCCTAAACCCTAAACCCTAAACCCTAAACCCTAAACCCTAAACCCTAAACCCTAAACCCTAAACCCTAAACCCTAAACCCTAAACCCTAAACCCTAAACCCTAAACCCTAAACCCTAAACCCTAAACCCTAAACCCTAAACCCTAAACCCTAACCCTAAACCCTAAGCCTGGTTGCTGTGGCTTGCAAGGCTGGTCATTCGCATGCTGCAGGTGCCGGCCGGGTCTGTTCCACGTGGGTGTTGGTTCACATCATGGTCCCTTTGGGCTACTCCATCATACTACGGAGCATATACTTAATGTGTTAGGGTTTAGGGTTTAGGGTTTAGGGTACGGGGGGACAACCAAGGAAGGAAATCAACTCCCCTAATCGCCCTGAACTTATATTTCCCAGATCGAACCAAGAAACAACCAAGAACACGGATAAGAGCAACAAGGAAGGGGCACCCTTACACAAGTAGAGGGGCACTAACCCAACCCTCACTCCCAAACACGGACTTTTTTCTTTGGACGGACTGGCCATCCTTGAGCCAAACATAGTTTACGGGTTCATTAACCCTTTCAACTTCCAACACTAACTCCTTTCTACAATACCAATTGCAGCTCCGCACTTCCCCTGTCCTAGGATTTCCTAGGACACATTGGAGATGCAGGTCTTTTGGCCAAAAACTGCCATTAAGGCAGCAGCCAGCTGCTTGAAATGCAAGTTGTGGTTTAACGTCTTCCAGGACTGAATTATAGCACGTTGGCTAACCTACCACCCATAGAGAATCTTTTTTCACCATGATCCTCTCATCACTGAAGACTCCTTGGCCTTCTTCACCACAAACCGTGGTCTTCGCTACGCGAAAAGCTACTTACTTCTACTATCAGGGATTTCCATACCCTTAATAGTAACCACCACATTGTCAGCACATTGGCTGTTCCAGCGCACCCGTCTCCAGAAAGAGAAAAACTATCCCTTCATCCATACCATCCAATCACTTCTTTTTCCGATTGTTGGCAATCTTGAGGTGAAGTTGCAGCAGAATATACTCCAGGTCCGAAACTGTAAGAACAGGATCCTGTACGCCCCTTTGAATTGAGGATACCAATCCTTCTCTCTTTGCGTCCTCAATCGCCTGGCAAGATTGACCCAGCTCTTCATTCGCAGTGGCAGACCCTGGTGCATCCGCATCAGATGGACGATCCTTTTCTTCAGGATCTTGAACCATTACCACCTCTTCTTTTTTGGGACTCTGACTTTTCTCCCTCTTCTTTGTCTTTCCACCGACATTTGACTTTGTGCGCGTCTTCGAGGATTTTTCCACTGCAGAAGCCACCACATTGGATGTTGATCCACCCTTCTCAATGATCGTCGGCATCTTCTTCGGCTTTGGAACCATGAGAGTGTAAGGATCTTCGATAGCTGCAGCTTTCCTCTTCTTTTTTACCTTTTTCTTCTCTTCTTCAACGGCAACCTCCGTCTCCGAAGTCTCAACCACTCCTTTTTCGGCAGGAATATCCTTGCTGGACTCCCTTTCTAGGGATCTCTTTTTACCTCTTTTGGGATCCTTTTCCTCTCCCAAATTGGCTCGCTCATACCATATCCTCAGGTCATTGACCCATTCTTCCACCTCCGCGAGCGAAACCTCATACGACTTCACTACTTCGAGAAGTTCCAGCACGGACAACATTTCAGTGGTCCACGAAACCCATACTTGATCCATTTGGTCAGCATCTCCAGTGAACTTCAGGAGTTTGAACAATGGGTCCGCCTCTGCCCGAGCCAAATCTGGCTTGCCACCGGAGAGAAATGAAATCGCCTCCATCAACAGTTCCGTCATCTTGGTCTCTTCGTCATAAACCATAAAATCCTCCTCATCATCATCGAACTGTTCAGGAGAGATCTCCTTTTCTCCACCATTTGCACCAGACTTTCTCCTTGGACCATCCCTTGGGGGCGTCCTTGGAGACCTTGGCCTCTGTTTTTCCAACGGAACACCATGCTCGAAGACACACCTGTCACCAAATCGACACTTCCCAGACCGAGCAAACTGGACGCACCTCACACCAGTTGCATCATGCGAGAACCCACAATCCTTTCCAGCGAAACATTCTCTCCCTGCCACATAGTATTTGCACCAATATGAATGTAGCACCACATCATCTTCGGAATGGATGAATTTGCAGTCGTCACCAAATTTGCAGCGATCTTTCCCCTTGCCGAACCAATAGCAGAAGCCCTTCTTCCTCTTCTCCAAGCGCTCTGCCTCATACCGG